AACACTCAACTTTCGAATTTTGGTTTCAATACGTTTTATCATCAGAATAAACTAAAATCGCTTGACATTTCGTTTAACCACCTTCAAAAAGTTGATTTTACGTTAATGTTTAGAAATTTTAAAAACTTGGAAACGCTCAAGTTGGAAGGAAACGATTTGAAAGAGGTTGACACCATCACTCGGACACACTTCCCACAGTTGACGTCGTTGGGTCTTTCGAAAAACAACTTCACTTGTCGTTATTTGGCGAAATTTTTACTCCCATGGCAGAATTTGGAACTTTTCCACAATCCGTCACCAAATCAAACGCATATCGATGGAGTTGGTTGTTTCAATGAAATGAGCTATGTTAGTACTGAAACAACAAAAATGCCTGAAACAACAACTGAACTCATCAAGAGATCAAACTCTACCATGAAACATTCAACCGAAAAGACAGAAATTGAAGATAAGCCAGTCACGCGTTTTGATTGCGATCTCTTTTCATCGAAAAACCAATCTGAAACAGAGCAAGTTTCCTGCGATCACATCGAAGAAATTGACACGAGTTGCATGGGTTATGCATTACAAATCAACGTGAACAACGATGATGAAATGGTCATCCGATTATCGCAAAGTAATTTCCAGTTGCGTTGCTCCAAAAAACAATTTCAAAAACTAAAGTATTTCAATATCTCTGGAAATCAACTGCAAAATGCGCCACAAATTATCGCATTACTCGGATCACCAATCGAAACACTGGATGTATCATCAAATTTCATTGGAGAATTAAAAGTCCATCTATTTGAAAGATTCACCAATTTGAAATATTTGAATTTGAGTCACACCAATTTATCAAATTTTGGCTTCAGCACATTTTACCATCAACGTAACCTACTAGTACTTGATCTTTCCTTTAACCATTTGAAGAAGGTCGATTTCAATTTACTAATGCGAAATTTCAAGGAACTGATAACACTCAATCTGGAAGGAAATGATTTAATTGAAGTAGACACAGTCAATCGAAAAATTTTCCCCAAACTAGGTTCTTTGGGTATTTCAAAAAATAAATTTTCTTGCCAATACTTGAGCAACTTTTTACTGCAATGGGATAATTTACATTTACTCTATAATCCATCGAATCAAACGAACATTGATGGAATCGATTGTCAGCATGATGAACAACTTACCAAAAATAACAACGAAATGACGCCGGATAAGTCTGGATTTCCAACAAGTACGGAAAGTAGTGTTAATTCGAACACCACGATTTCAAAAGGCGCAAAGGTGGATATCAAAAAAAATGATCACCATATTATAATAAAAGTTGAACAAAATTCTATGTCAGAGGATATACGAGCACTAAAATATCTATTTCTTCTTCTACTTTTTATAATATGTGGATATATTGTAGTGAAAATGAAGTTTTTTCAACATATCAAACAAAAAATAAGACGTAATTCAATGAGTGTAAATCAACATTACGAACAAGACAGTGCACACACAAGCGTAATCGAGTTGACTCAACGTCACAATTCAAATGAATAGAATCACATTGTTATTTTTGCCAATTGAATCTCAAATAAATTTTGTATTTCCTTTTAAAAATCAAACTATGACGATTCTGTCCTTTCGCATAAGTATCTAGTAAAATCGGAAATGAATTAATAATATGGTAAGTAGTTGCTAATAAGCTTGGAATTGAGATTTTATCTCATAATGCTGAAACATGGGTAACAAAATAACACTGATAAATACTATTCTTGCTACTATTGCTTAATGTGAAACGTAGTTTTATACATTAAGCTATGGAATAGTAAGATATATATATATATATATGTTTGTTCAGTGATTTTAGAGAAAACCAGAAAAGATAGAGAGTTCGGGTTTTCGGCATTCGATAGGGCATAAAAAACCCTCCAGACGTATTTTTTATTTTCCCCATAAGTGCTCCCCATTTAATTTTTTCATTCATGGACCCACTTTTTTGGATTCCACTTTGAAAAATATTTCGATTCCACTCACCATTTATTGAGTGGATAACGAATGGATTCGGGTGGAATTATTTTTCTCCGCAACTTTATTGGGTGGATAAACGATGGAATAAATGAGTTTTACTTCAGTGTTAATTTGATGACTTTGGATCTAGATGAAACTTGTTGAAAAAAAGTTGGAGACACCCGAGGCACCAAATTGTTTTAGATTCCTTATAAAATTACCTTTCGAATGGTATATAAATTATGGAGTTTCCGGCAGGTTTGATGGCATTTTACGCTGGCCGTTTGGCCGAAATATGAAAAATTATGAGAAAAATCGGCTTCCGAATCTTATAGCAAGCAACCTAGTTCTATGATTTTGATGAAACTTTGCCAGATGATAGCTCTTGGAACCCTCTTTCCAACGGTATATAGCTTATTAGCCAATCGAACTTGTGGATGTGTTTCCCAGGTGGCCGTAGATTGACGCTAGTGATATATCAATGATACTATTGATAGTTCGATATGAATAGCGTGCTATTGGTACATTTTAATTTTGTGACAACAACAATTTGGCTCTTCAATATTTTACCGCAAATGTAGAATCTAAAATATCAAAATAGAGCTCTATATTTGAAGGAATATATTGAAGAGAAATAATTGTTGTTGTCACAAAATTGAAATGTACCAATAGCACGATATTCATATCGTACTATCAATAGTACCATGATATATCACTAGCGTCATTCTATTCACTGCAAATTAGTGAAAATATTTGCAAAGTCAACTTTCAAGGGGAAATTTATTGCGGCATTTTCCTCTGATTACTTTGAATTTTAACATCTGAGTTTTCTGAGAGTAGTTTATGGGGTTTACTGCCTTTTTGAAGCTCAACTCCATAGGTGGCAATATAGCCAAAATGAGAAAAATATAGGTAAAGTACATTTTCGAGCTTCATTGCAAGCAACCTAGTTCTATGATTTTGATTAAATTTCGCCAGATGATAGCTCCCAAAGTCCTCTTTCTAACGCTATATAGCTTATTAGCCAATCAAACTTGTGAAGAGTTTTGGAATTTCAATTTAATTATGGCATTGACAAAAACCTTAGAGAAAAACGAAATCCATGTGATGCATTTATTAGGTAGTTCTGGACGTTCTCATTTCAGTAATTGAATTGAACGATTTCACCATTTATGGATCATCAGCGCAGCTTTTAAGAAAACCATCTATATAATTTATAGGATTTACTAACTTTTTGAAGTGGGAGCGCATAGGTAGTCGTTGAGGCAATATGAGGAAAATATTGGCAAAATCAATTTTCAAGGTGTAATTTATTTTAAAAAAATTGTGGCAAAAAATTCAAAATATGAATGTCGAGTAGTTTGTTTTTCTTAGTAGTACGGTTCCACGTTTCACATTAAGCTCTACGGCCAAAAACTGGCAGTGTATTTAAAGTGATGAGCAGCGTAATTATTTTCAGGGAAGTTGGAGTTTTATTTTTATTCGCAAAAGTATGTCTTCTTTCGTGAATGTAATATTGCTGACGTAAGAAGACTTTGTTAAAAGGAAAAACAGCATTACGTTTATTGAGCGATATCGTGTACCTGGCCCACCTACGCTTTTTTCACGATACTTGTCGGTCGTTTGTAATTTTTAACTACTTCAATGATTTAGGTTCACCATTGCCTTATTTACTTTGTGTTATTAGTTATAATTCTTATCTTTTGCTCTTTGGAATTCGTTCTCTGATAGTTTCAGTGTGTGTAATGAAACATTGGTCGGAATTTAATTTTTTATCATCATTTAAAAGTTGAATTTGGAAACGCATCGGATTGCTCAAGGAAATGGACTTTGTAAAACTAAGGAGATTACATCATTGTATATCTTAATTAGACATTGAGTGCAATCGTGTGTTTGCTACATTTCATAACATTGTTGGATTCATGTCGGGCATATGTATTTTCTGACCACGACTCAACAATCAGTTCAGTCACTTCCATCGAACAGTTAACACAGTCAACGAAATAAAATGAAGAACAGTGTGGTTTCCGTTTCGTTATTATTATTGACTTTGAAATGTATAGTAGGTGCAGCAAAAATCACAAGCTGTACTACTAGTGATAATTATTATTCAGTGAAGTTATATTGCGACCAAAATCAAAATTGTAATAACACGGACTACTACACGTACTTTACTAATGACTTTTCATGTGAATGTTATAGAAATATTTTTAATGGAAATAGTTATTCCTCTGATGCAAGGGAATTAAAAGGTTGTTCGAAAAGTCGCTTAGATGAAATGATTCCTGAAAAATTTCCAAAATTGGAAAAATACGATATTTCATTTGCAGGATTTGAATTTTTAACTGCGACCGATTTGAAATTTACGTATTTAAAGACATTGAAAGCATATTACAATAAATTAACCAATATTTCGGGATCTATTTTTGCTCACGCACCAAATTTGGAAGAAATTGACTTCTCCCGCAACGACATCAATGTACTGCATCAAAATGATTTTAAAGGAGCAACTAAACTTTCGAAAATTAAATTCTCACATAACAATATATCAATGTTAGAAGCAGCATTATTTGCTAATAACCTTGAATTAACTGAAATAGATTTTTCCAACAACAATATCAATGTACTTCATGAAAATGATTTTAAAGGAGCAACAAAACTGTCGATAATCAATTTTCAGTATAACAATATATCAATCTTGGAATCAGGAATATTCGCCAATACTACAGATTTAACTGAAATTTACCTATCTGAAAACAAAATATCAATTTTGGATGTGGAAATATTTTCTAAATTGAGTAAACTACAAATTTTGAAGCTAAACAGCAATTTGATAAAATCCATTAAAAAAGACTTATTCAAAAATAATAAAAATTTGAACACACTTGATCTGCGATGGAATCCGATTTACCGCTTTGATGAAAACTTTTCCGAAATTCTTCTGATGCACCCCATTTCATTTGATTTATATTCTATTAAAGAGTTTGATTCCAGTTTTCTTAAAAATACTATAGCTATTCGATATGACAAGATGATCATAAGAACATCAGAAAATTCCAAAAATATAGATTATGGAACGAGATACTTCGATAGCTTAACGTTTCTAAATATTTCAAACAATCAACTCGAAAATACCATAGGCATCATAAGGTCATTGAGTTCAAAGATCGAATCATTGGATATTTCATCGAATTATGTCGGAGCATTGGATGAGAATATCTTCAAAATATTCACCAATTTGAAGTATTTAAATTTAAGAAACACCAGTCTCGTCACCATTATTTTCTATGTATTTCGTCCGCTATTGTTTCCAGAAAATGAGCACAAATTAGAGACAGTTGTGTTGGACGAAAATCCAATCAAACATTTGGATGAAAATTTATTTCTGCTCGTTGTGAATTCAGTGGAATTACATCTTTCATGCGACCATGTTGAAGCCATTGATACGAATTGCCTAGCGAGTTCACTGAGCATCGATTTGAATGAGAATGATGCCATTTTTGGCGTATCCGGCGACAAGTTAAAATTAAAATGTTCTAAGGATACATTTAAGCAATTAAAAAGCTTCAAAACCTAGAATAATCAACTGAAAAATGGATCGGAATCGATCGAATGGCTCGGAGAACCTATTGAAACTTTGGAAATAGCTTCAAGTTATGTTGGAAAATTGAATACGCACACGTTTGAACGGTTCAACAATCTTCAGTATCTCAATCTCAGCAACACTCAACTGTCGAATTTTGGTTTCAATACATTTTATCATCAGAACAAACTCATATCACTTGACATTTCGTTTAACCACCTGCAAAAAGTGAATTTCACGATCGACACGAGTTGCAAGGATAATGCATTGCAAAGTAACATGAACAACGAAGATGAAGTAGTCGTCCCATTACCTCAAAGTGATTCTGAGTTGCGTTGCTCAAAAAAACAATTTCAAAAACTAAAGTATTTCAATATCTCTGGAAATCAACTGCAAAATGCGCCACAAATAATCGCATTGCTCGGATCACCAATCGAAACACTGGATGTATCATCAAATTTCATTGGAGAATTAAAAGTCCATCTTTTTGAAAGATTCACCAATTTGAAATTTTTGAATTTGAGTCAAACCAATTTATCAAATTTTTGCTTCAGCACATTCTACCATCAACGTAATCTACGAGTACTTGATCTCTCGTTTAATCATTTGAAGAAGGTCGATTTCAATTTATTAACGCGTAATTTTAAGGAACTGGTCACACTCAATCTGGAAGGAAATGATTTAATTGAAGTAGACACAGTCAATCGAAAAATTTTCCCCAAACTAAGTTCTTTGGGTATTTCGAAAAATAAATTTTCCTGCCAGTATTTAAACAACTTTTTACTGCAATGGGATAATTTGGATTTACTCTACAATCCATCGAACCAAACGAACATAGATGGAATCGATTGTCAGCATGATGAACAAATTAACAATAACGAAGTGTCGCCGAATAAATCTGGAGTTTCAACTAATACAGAAAATAGTATCGAATCGAATTCCACGAATTTTAAGGGCGGAAATGCGGACGTCAAAACGAGCAATGAACATCATGGTTCAATGGATGGTGAACATAATTCCCTCTCAGCAGACGTACGTGCGTTAAAGTACCTATTTGCTGGAATGTTCATAATGTGCTTTGGATATTTGGTTGTAAAATCGAAGCTTATTCAACGCATCAGACATGGAGTCAGACGTAATTCAGCGGAAATCAATATGAATGTCGAGTATGATCAAAATAGTGTAGATACAAGCGTGATTGAATTGACTCAATGTCACAATCGTAATGCATAATATACAAATATTATTTGAAAAATAATCAGTTTTTCACATTAATGTTACAAATTACAATTGTAATTTCGATAAAGTTTAGATTAGATTTATTGACAATTTGCTGTCTACAATTTATACAATATTGGAAGTATCACAATTGTTTGGTTGTGATTTTAGAGTTAATGAACTTGCAGTTGATCTAGGTTTATGTCGTTTTCAGCAAAAACATGTGCACATTTGTCGACCTATTTCAGAGTTTTTTTTACCAAAATGGCAATGCGATATTCGTGACGGAATTTCAGTGCAACAACGACATCATATTTTTCAAATTTTTATAGCGAGCTATTCTTATCACGAAATTGTAAAAATATAATTTAGATTGTTGCATACTTTTCAAAAAAGATTTAAAATGCTTGAAGTTTGTTCGTTTGATCAATTAAATTAATTGTCTATTCTAGTTCAACAATTTTAAATATTCAAATTTAAGTCATACAAACCATTCATGTGCAGTACGTTTTTTAAAAACACACTTTGATGGCGTCGATTGTCATTCCAAAAATTTCGGTTGAAGAACGTAAGCTCCATTCATATAGCTTCTTAAAATAAGTATTTACTGAGATGAAATTGTTTAAATAACTTATTCTGCCAATCATTAAATGTAATTGTAAGAAACGAATTTTTCAAACTTATTAGCTTCGAGCAATCGTTCTTACCACTTTTGCGTGTAATTAAATAGATTAAGCTCAATGTATATTTCCCACTTAGAATATATTCAAATTGTTCAGTATTTATATTTAAAATGAAATGCACAGATTATGTATGCCAAATTTCTTTATTTTTTAATTCAATGCGTTCCAAATAAATGCCTTTTTTAATTTTTACTAATTATAAAATGCTTGTGTTCTAATTCCATTCTTCTATTTTCAATTAAATAATTTTATGTAAATTTAACTAAATTCAATCTATTTCAATTCATTCTGTGGTTTAGCAATCTTAAGTATATAGTTACGAGTGAAGATTCTTTTCGGATTTGATATCTGAAGATTGGAAAAATATTTTCAAAACAAATTTGCTTTATCGACTGATTTCAAATGGTTTAAAGTGGATGAATCAATCAATTCTTTGCACCGTGAACATTCTTCATATGTTGATTGACAGTATCAAGTAGTGAGAAACGAGCATCACATAATTGGCATGGAAATGGTTTTTCTCCTGTGTGATGGTTACGCATATGACGTTTCAAGTTTGTTTTTTGTAGCAAATTCTTTTTACAAAGGTAGCATTGATAGCCACGACGTTTGCATTGCACTTGATGTTGATCCTTATCGTCTTCCTTTGCAAATGGTCGATGACATTGTGTGCAACGATATGAGCGTGGTTTGGAATGTATTGCCAAATGTCGTTTGAAATTACCTTTGTGAATGAACTTCTTTCCACAATTAGCACATTGAAATGGTTTATCATCAGTGTGTTTCAATCGCATGTGATGCTTCAAACTACTATTTACGAAGGATTTGTATTCGCAGAGATAGCATACATATCGTCGAGAGTTACATCCATTCTCGTGAGTTTGTTTTCCGGCTTCTTCAGCGAATCGATGACCACATTTCAAACAACGAAATGGAAGTTTTGGACCGTGGATTTTCTTATGGCGATTCAAATTCATCTTGTGTGCAAAAGCCTTGGCACATACTTCGCATTCGAAGGGTTTTTCGCCCGTATGCCTTCGAATGTGTGTTGTGAGATTTGATTTTTGATTTGTCACATAATCACAGAAATGACATTTGTGCTTTTTCTGTCCAATGGAGGCTCGACCATTCGATGGTTTCTTGGAACCCTTTGATTTTCCGCCTTTTGGCTTCTTCGTTTTTGCATGCTGTTCACGATTGCAGCTTGAGTTTGATCTTTCATCGCATAAATCTTCACCAATTGGACCATCACTTGCACCTTCGTTTGAGCTTGCCTTCGGTGCTTCATCGTGCTTTTTCTTCAAACATTCCTCTTCCTCCGATTTGATCTCGTCCTTCACATAGTCAGCATCGTATGGCACATACTCAGCATCACTTTCGCTTTCCGATTTTATCATAGTGCCGGCTTCAACTGGTGATAATGGTGACAACGGTGGGTATGCAATCAGATCAACACCATCTCCTGGCTCCACTTTCACATCAACTTCTTCTTTGATTTTGACTTGTGACTCACAAGTTGTGAGTGTCTTCCTTTGCGTTGGTATATGCGCTTGGCTCTTCCACCTAAAGCCCCTTTAGCTTGATACGGATTCATCGTGGCTCTGTTTGATATGAAAAATATCAGTTGACACAAATGTGAGGTTAGTTTTCGTTTTGGGAAATTTCCAATGTTCGTGTATTTTCGAATATTGAAAAAAATATTTTTGCTTAACAGCAAGTTATCACAAATGGGAAGATATTATTATTGTATCTTTTGCTAAGCAAAATCTCAGTTAAATTATCAAATTATTAACTCATTTCCATAGTGCAAGTAAGAATGAATGCCAACAAGTATCACCATGAGAATCATAAAGGGCGTAGTGGAATTTTACAAATAAGGTTGAGGTTAGAATCAAACTGGCCTTGAAATAAATTTAGAATTTTTATGATTTTATCAAAAAAGGACGATCAAAATCTTTGGTTAACAAAAAATAAAAAAATCTAACCAGAAAAACATTCAAGAAATTCCGCCGATTTGTGCGCGAATGATGATTGAAAACGTATAAACACGTGCCGTTTGCTTACGATCTGCTTTCGATGACAGCTCCAACTCGACTGGGGTGGCTTTACATAACATACTGTTCTCGTTGATTTGTAACATTTGACGCCAGAATGAAGTTGTCTGCTTTCAATTTGATTCTGACTCATTTCAAATATTTTTACTTTGGTTTCGTATTAGATTTTTCTATTTATCACTTAATCTCATTCTGTGAATTAAACGAAATATGCTAAGCAATTAATTGCTCTAAGAATAGATTTTCATGGAAATATTTTTATGCATCTTTCAAATGATGAACTAAAAATTAAATGAAGTAAATTAACTTAAATGTGACCCACGTATTATATAACAATCATTTTATTATTGACAAAAATGAAAATCGATAAATTCTAATTAACTATAAAGAAATAATTGAAAAGATTTCAAAAATCGAATATTTGGAAGTTTCAACGATAATAGCGCCGCACACTTTTCGAATTGTCAGTATGCCATGACATTTGTATTCATTGTTGCTTCGTTATTTCATCAACACACATCTAAGCAAGGATGCTTCGTGTTCCATCGACATTTATAAAATATTATTTCATTCTGTCCACAAGTTTAGACAATATAACGATACAAGTTTTAATCGAAACTCACAATTTTCTTCAAAAATTCAATTTGGATTAATAGATCAATGTTGTTTTGGGGTCGGTGTATGAATTTCGACATTCTCATTTTTTGAACATTAGCGCTGTCATTGTAGTAGTGTACAATTGTTTGAAACAAATAAGTCGCATATAGAACCAACTAAGGTGAGCACTATAACCGCTTCTTATTATTTTTATTTCGCCAAAAAAAATAACAAATATCCTTCATACACAATTGAATATATTAACAAATGAAATTTTTTAGCACCGTGACATTTTTAATCGTTCCATATAGATCAAATCAAAGCATCGACCAGTCAAGGAAGGGCAAAATCAAGATGAGCAAACGAAAGGGAGGTTATGTCAATCAAATCGAAGGAAAAACAAGAAAACTCAGCGATTCTATGGCGGAAACGGAATCAGAAGAGATATTGGAAGCCAACCAATTTGCTGTTGCGGTTGCACCGATTGAAGAAGAGTCACCACCAATTTTCAATTTCAACAACCATTGTTGCTACGAAATGTTGGATCGGCTATCACTAGAAGACCTGAATTCATTCGGCCAGACGTGCAAATGGGCTCAACATTTTTAAATTTGTTAGGCTTTTTTTTCAATTGAATTATTCAGCACTTGAGGTCGAATGTGAGCGAGGTGGATTCACTGCAAATGGAATCAATCTAATTGGATTTGAGGAAAATTTCCAAATTATGAGCATTCGACGCCATCAGTATATGCTGCCATTCGAGAGAATTGAATCAAATTGCAACTTCACTTGTCTGATCTAACAATATCTTCAAAAAAGGCGGTATGTTTGAAAAATTGTCCTGAAAACTATTGAATGTCTTTAAATCAAACGATGTAAGATTGATGGTGACTTTTATGATCGATTTCTCGTTTACTGCAAACAATTGAAACGTGTTTCCACAATACCTTACCAGCTTACTCGTGACATTAAAAGTTATGGTGGCATTACACCTCTTTTATTGGAAGGAATCATATTGCTTCAAACATATCCGACACTTGTTGAATTGGACATAAAAATGTCATGTTCAAGAAAAATTGATGAGCTGAAAGTATTTTTCGATCGAAATCCAAATGTTCGAAATTTTGCCAGAGTTTGGGCTTTGTGCTAGAAAATCAGCAAACAATCAAGTCATTGAAGCTCGATAAGCTGTCGATTTATTGTGAATTCGCTTACGACACGCGTTTTTTTGATTTACTTAATGAATTTTATGCAAATGGCGTTTATCAGCGGTTGTATTTATTTTCGAGAAATACGCCTCTCTTAAAGCAAGTAGGTTCACTGCACAACTTGGAATATTTTCATTATTTTCCCGGAAATAGTGTCAATATAAATAGACCCATTTGGACTTTGGATAAACTGAAGGTATTTGGAATTGGTAGGATTCGGACAAATTCAGAAAAACATCTACCAGTTAACTACAAACTTACAAACATTCATGCAAACCCTGAAGGCATCTTGATATTCATCAGACATTCAGCAAAATTGAAAGAAATCATAATTGAGAACATGTACTGCAAAAGAGAAGCCGATTTATAATCTTGTGGCATGGAACAAGGAACGCGAAAAATTCGATGGAGACTGAAAAGTAACGATTTCTGTCGATGAAGACACTTTCTTGGCAACGAGATGGACAACCCGCACAACAGACTTGAGTTTGGTCGAATTAAAGCGAATAACATCGTGCAGTTTTTCACAAGATTTTCTTCGTTATCTCCATTATCACTCAATTATTTTCTTCGTACATTTTTTTCTTTCATTTAGAACATTTTTCTTCATTAAAATCTAAAAAAGTCCTAAATAAAGTCATCATTTTGTAAATCTCATTGAGAAAATGTCGTTGTTTCAAAAATAATTTATTTTTTTGGGTGTCCATCATGAAGTGTCTCTGCTGAAAAATGAATAAAAAAAGTAAAAGGTATTTATTTTCTGATTAAAATTGCAATGTTTCGTAAGGTGCTTGATTAAAAGAAACATGTCTTGAACTATTCACATTTTTCTGAGCACCAGACTGGAGAAGCAACGCACCAGACCTGAAGTGTGTTTCTTTGACTAGACGGGTTAATACGATGAAAAGGTACCTTAAATGAGTCAAGAGTCATGATTTTGATTGGAGTAGACCCGTGTAAACATTTGATAAAAGATTGCAAAGAACTTTTTAACCAACATGTTGGTGTTCAACAAACTTATCGAAATGAGTAGCAAATAACTTGACCGATTTACAATTGCGCTTCTCCAAATCCAATAGAGTAGAGTAGTACATTAAATTCAAGTATTTTTTTTTTTGTTCCCATTTTAAATGACCACAAAAGCTGTATAACCATGTATAGCAGTGCAACGTAAACAATGTAATCTTTAAACTACATGTTTCACAATGTATAAATAACAAATGCTTACCGCAAATAAATGTTTTATGTTAGAAATTGAATGTACGGCTTTCAGTTTTTGCTAAAAGGTTGGGAGGCATCTTTTAAATCATGTCTTAAGCTAAGTGCCCAACTGCTCCCCGTGATATGTGCATTTAACACGATTTCACCCATGATTCCACCAGTTGCCGATGAAGCAATCATTTATAGTGTCTGGGCAGATTGCAAAATGCAACGTTTGTATTTTTACACTTCAAATACAATAGTTATCATCAAATATTCATTATCTAGGCCCATGGCGTTTGACGTACAATATCATATACACTACTTTTTTCACGTAAATTCGATGAATCATCATTTGACACCGCTTTTTTGTTGGCATTTTATCAATTGATTCGATTGAAAACAGTAGCTGAATCAGTTAACTTATCATATATATTCTATATGGTAAGTATGTGATGGTCAAGTCCCTTTATCAGATAAAATATCTTCAATGAATCATTCATCGTTCGAACATCTCGGTATAAATGTATGAAGTTGATTAAAAATTGATTTAGTTGTAAATTGAAGATCATCCGAAAAAATACTCAAAATGTTAAAAAAGTACGCTAGGTTCTTCAAGTGTTCAGCGTTATCATTACTGGTTCTTGTAATCTGTATAAATTATAGTGAAGCAAATGTTCAAATTAGTGAAACAGGTTTGAATTTCTTCGATTTTGAAGAAATTAAAAATGATTTTTTTCAACAAAGCGACTTCAACATTTCAAACACCTATCGGAGTATTGATCTCGAGGCTGTGGCGAAAAATGCGAAATGTCTCAAACAAATGATAGAAATTCAACGTGGTTTGCGAAAAGAGATGTGGGCAAGGAAAAGTAAATTGATTTTTTTTAGGTTAATCGATCGGTCACTTGCGACTCGAAATGACTTTGATGATTATTTTAGTTGTGGATTCATGGGGAAAAATTCCGTCTGGATTGCTTAACGGAAATTTCTATGAACTTGGTGAATTTTCGCAATGCTTAAATATTGATCGAAATGGAAAGCGATATGAAACACAATACTGCTTGGGGCAATTGACTTTTGAAGCTAACCTTGGTATAATGCCAAAATCAATTGGATTCGGTTTAAATCATAATCATGGGTTTTGGCAGATGGGCAAACATACAAACATTGATCAACGATTGCTTGTACCGTAAATACATATATATTTTGGTGTTTTTAATTACACCTTTTCAATTGGTTCAATTTCAAATTTAGAATAGCCGAAAAAAAAATAAGCATTACCTTTGGAATGTGTTTGCCAGACTCTTGTTCATTGCACCTAACTGAAAAGATCCTTAATGATGTTATACTGAAAAAGGGTTATAAAGTGAAAGTAAGCTTTCCGGATAACATGTGTCAAGTTAAGGAAAGCCCTTCGGAATTGAAGAAAATCGATATCGCTGCTATGTAAGTAACGCTTTCAAAGGAACATTTTTCGACATTTTCAAAAAATCTGAGAACAAGCCAGATTTCAAATCAGTGAATTGTCACAAATTTGACATAATTAGTCACTTTGCTCGTAATTTCGTTGGATTTTCCAATTTCGCCAAAATGCCAATCATTGCAAAAAAAAGTCGACAATTTTTTATCTAATAATTATTATAATAGTTTAAATTGCACTTTACGTTTGCATCGAGTGCCAATAACTAAATTAGTCGATATGACGTTCATTTTTATGATGTTTGCTCTTCCATTTCCTTTAGATTTGTATTGGTCACATTTTTTTGCTTGATAGCAGCGAGCACCTGTTACGATATCATATGCACATTAACAAATCGTAAGTTTGCTGCTTTTCAATATAAAGTGGGTGTCATAAATCGGCTCTGCCAGGCGTTTGTTGCATATTCGTTTCGATGAGTGTTGCACTTATCACATCGACCGTTTCCTGAGAATAAAAGAGCACGAACTGAATTTTCACACCAAAAATTGGCTGCAGAACTGACTCAGTTTTATAATAATCTAATCGCTTAAGTGGTTGGCTAATTATATTTTTTATCACAATTTCAGGCGTAAAAACTCAAGCACTTTTGATATTTTCGTTCTACTCGAATGGCATGAAATTGCTGTCGTATAAAAAATCAAAGTCACCAGATATGATGCATTGTTTGCATGGGATTCGTGCCATTTCAACACAATGGGTTGTGCTTGGTCACACATTTATGATGTTTGCCGTGTTACCCGCTCGGAATAAAATTGATCTATTGACAGTAAATCATTTTTACCTTTGCAATCAATGGATTCGATTTATGATTATTTCTTTTTCATGAAATATGTTTCAGTTCATTAAACAGTACCACAACATGATTATACTTTCCGCACCAATATCGGTTGATACGTTTTTCTTCATGAGCGGTTTATTGGTTTCCATCAACTTGTTGAAACATTTTGAAAAGACGTAAGTAATATACGAAGCATTTTTGCACTAGAGCTTTCCATCGAATTATGGATATTCGATTCTAATATAGAGAGCCAGATTTGGGGCTCGAAAAGTTGAAAGAAAGATTCTAAGCTCATCTCCAACGGACATAGGTCGAAAATCTTGGAAATTAATTTCGTAAAAAAAATAAATCAGAAACTATTTTTTAGAACAAGTGAGGAGGAGCGTTCTGAGTAGCCAGAGGATCGGAGTACTTGTTAAAAGTTAAGTCTCCCCAGAGTGCTCCTATTCACGTATATTACTCTGACAAAGAGTCTTTGTATTCAATACTTCTATTCCACACAAGTCGAACAAAGCCTTTTTTTGCTGTTTACTATAAATATAATGTATCATCGATAAACTAAAACAAGGATAAATTCTTTTCGTGTTACAGGAAAGGAAGAATAAACATACCACTTCTCTATTTCCATCGTTATTTGCGGTTGACACCACTTTTGGGTGTTACATTTCTGATATCAATGTCTTTACTAAAATTCCTCGGCAATGGGCCAGTGTGGCCGCTTCTTATGACGAAGGATACAAGTTGTGAAAAATATTGGTGGTCAGCCCTATTATACGTCCAAAATTATGTCAATCCAACGGAAATGGTTTGTATGAAATCAATAATGGCATTGAATTTCTAAATGAATTTTTAATGTATTCCATTCAGTGCTTTGGATACTCTTGGTATTTGTCAGTTGATATGCAACTTTTCGTGATTTCACCAGTGATTATTTACATCGTTTACAAATTAAAGACCAAATCAATGTCGATTCTACTGATTTTGATTTTGGGTTGCATTGGTTGCGACTTGGCGCTTCATCAGAAATATGATATAAAAGGAATGTACGTATTTTATGGCTGGGAAGGAATTGCCTATTTTTTGACATAAATCGAATCCACCATTATTCATGGAATGTGGATATAAACTAAAGTGCAAGAAAGAATAGGCAACTCTTAAGAATTAAGGAGCTCCTGCTTGACGATCTCCAAGCGAATAAGCTAATCATCAATGCTATTTTACAGGAAATCAAGACGAATGGATATAATATACTACCCTACACACGTTCGATTTTCTCCGTGGCTGATTGGCGTAATTTCCGGATATATTATATTTGAAGCCCGAAAGCGATCAGTTCGCATTCCAAAGGTTCGCTTTTTTCAAAAAATCATTCTCATCATTCATTAATTCGTTTATTTTCCACCTACAGTTGTTCAACCTTCTCGCTTGGTTGCTTTCTCTTGCTCTGCTGGCAGCCGTGATTTTTCTAAATTATCCCCTAATTCAGATAAATTCAGAGGCAACGTGGTTGGCTTATGGACTGTACGATTCGTTGAGTCGTGTTGCATGGTCGATTGCTCTGTTTTACATTACATTTGCATGTGTAAACAACTACGGTGGCCCGGTTAATTGGTTCTTGGCTCACCCACTATGGCAGCCGATCTCAAGAGTTTGCTATGCAATCTATTTAATACATTATCATGTGCTCACGGTAGTAATGGGCCAACTGAAAGCACCAGATTATTTTACAGAATTGAAGGCAGTAAGTTTTGCTTGACTCGTACTTTATTATGATTGTTATTTAATCATGAGTTTTGTTTTCAGTTCCATACATTCCTTGGAATTTATGTGATAACAGTGTTCGTTTCTATAATTGCATCGCTTGCGTTTGAATCACCGTTTATGATTATTGAGAAATTATTGTTCACGCCAGCAAAACACGCAGCACGCAACAATAGATCGGAAAATACAGTAAAAAATTAATTTATTTATCATTATTGACAATCAATTTAGTAACATTAAAATAAAGAAAGTTAAGAAACGGTGATACAAGTAATTAAGTAATTCAATTCATTGATGAGAACCATCCAGTTGTTAATTTTGAAGCAGGTGAATATTTTTGGGCTTTATTGGTTGTTTTGAGTGTGCCACACTATTTTTAAATTTTTATTGCGTGTTAACAAATTGAAGAGTGTGCGAAGTGTGATTTTAATAGGCGCCGTTCCTAGCTATATTGTCATAATATTAGCCACCAACATTCAACGATTTCATGAAAAATATTCGACAATAAGTTATAATTAGCCAGTAATGGTATAGGCTGTCAATTTGTTGGAGATTTTACCCATTCTAAATACTGAACTGAGTCAAAATCCAGTTTTTATAACAATACACAACGTGTGAACTTAATAATGAGTCAACATTTGGATCTTAATTATTTTGTTTACAACCGCTTCCATTTCAGATTTTCTTTTAAATGGGTCAGTGACACTGACTCAGTGTTAAGGTGATTTCTCAAACGTTCACATCAATTCATTGATATCTTGAAGTTTTTACTGTTTTAAGTTTTTGATCTCCAATTATAAAATAAACTTTTTCCAACACTAATATGACTCAGCCATTTGCAACTGCGAAAAAAGCTCTAACCTTATGTTGTGCTCTACCATTCGAAAATGGCCTAAGTCAGCGAAAAAAATTGTTTTGTATATTTTTCACTTTGATTGCATTCGTATTGCATTTGTGTACAATTTGTGCAAATATTGGTTTTGCGGTGAAATTCATATCAGTCGATCTGAAGCAATCATTATTTGCGATTGCTGTGGTTTTGACGCTTTTCAGCATTGCCTACATGATCTTAGTAGGTTTATACTTACGCCCAAAAATGCTCATTATTTTTGACAAATTATCCGAAATTCATACAACAAGTAAGAAATCTTTTTCGAAAAAAAAAATCTTTAAATTATCAAAAAAATTGAATGAAATTATTTTAGATTCCAATAAAGATTCGTATCGATTTTTGTCTGAAGTGAATAAAAAATGCGAGAAAATGTGGTGTTTATACTTCAAAACAGTCCTACCTAGTTTCGGTCTGTCTAATATTTGTGCTACGATAGCTTCGGTCATTCTCAGTTTCTCATTGACTGGACATTTCGACCGAAAGTATGCATTTGTCCCAAACAATTTTGTGTAAGTATTTTTTTTACCACGAAAGCTCTAAATGTTTGCTACTTAAAGAATTTATCTACACTCATTAAGTTTGAATTTAGTTAATACAATTTTTGTCACACAGTTTACCTTGGGAACAATCAACACCTCTTGGATATGTCGGAGAAATATCTTTATCGCTTTTATGTGGAGAAATGTTCATGTATTTAAACGGAGTACTTGTTTTGTTCTATATATCAATGTGTATGCAACATTGTGCATTTTATGAATATTTTCGACATTCACTAGAAAAGTTAGACAGTCCTGATGAAAATGCGAATCAATTGCTTTGCGATTTAATTCAGTTTTCGAACTCGACTCGAAGGTAAGCGATTTAAATGGTTTAGAAAAATGTTGATGTGTCTGATTAATATAAATGTATTTTACAGTTGGTTTTCCCATTCAGCGAATGTTTATAGTGCTTTTATAGTAGTCGAGCTCATTTCAGGTATAGCCATATTGGCTTGCAGCATTTTTCTACTGGATTTGGTAAGGGGTGTTTCATTCATTTCACCGTCTGTGTGCATTAAATGTGACCTTTTACTTTTCCGCACACCTAGTGTATGGAAAGCATTTTGAATTTAGAAAATTGACCTTCGGTAGTTATAGAGTTTTTACAAACATTTAAAAAGGCTCTTCTGTATTTTCAGCAATTCAAGCAGATGAGCTTTAAAATTGTCATTATTTTGGTATGTGTATTGGTTGGCGCAACAAATCTGTTTTTCTTTTGCTTTTATGGAAAAATGGCAAGTGAATGTTATCAAAAAATGTCAAATGCTCTGTACGAATCCAAATGGCAAAATTTACCGATTGACTTGCAACGGTATTTCGTTCTAATGATTGCAACTGCCCAACGACCGATTTATTTTCATGGATATAATATGGTCATTTTGGATTTGAAGACATTCACACTCGTAAGTTTAATTTGTATAAGAGATTCAAAGGATTAAACATTTTAGTTACTGAAACATTTTCGTATTTTCAGTGCATTAAAACGGTGGCTACATATTTTATGCTGTTTAAGACCATTACGAAAGAATAAGAGGTTAATGAAAAATTCGGACCGTTTTCATCTCAATTCAGTCTTATTTCGGATTATTCTGGAAAAAGGTGACATTTCCATTCCGTAATCTATATAAGTTGAGTTTGTTTTACATGAATTAAGATTAGATAATTGTTGAGGTAATTTCAAATTAACTTAAGTTCGTGTTTCATTTTTTTTCTTCATTACTATGAAACACTGAAAAATAAAAGAAATTTTATGCAATCGATTAATGTGTAAATAAAATGTATTATATTCGTAAGATGAATTTTCCCGCACTGTCGAAAATGTTGTATTTGATTTTTTGATTCAAGAAATATATTTCAATGGATAAATTCCGATTGGTTCCAGCTGAATATTGTGAATTCCCTGAAAGCAATTGGTGCATCAACTTACCAAAATCATAAAAATACGTATGAATTTGAAGGCTTAATAAAGCAAACTAAAGAACTGAATCGAAAAGTCAATTTATTTGATTGAATATGACAAGCAAAAGGTTTCTAGTGACATGACATCTAATTGGTTTTAATTGATGAAAGAAACATTTTTTATCCAAATCGAAGCGGACAAGACTTAGATTGAGACCATTGCAAACTTTCTCATTTCATTGATTTATTTTTACTAAATGAAAAGTATCTTTTTTCAATAATTTTTTTTAAATGATCAATGATCATGTCCGATTCGATTACATATTTTTCGATTATTAAAATCATTATTTGGTCATTCTTGAAATGTTGTGAATCAAATTGATTTTTGCTCAACATCGAAAACTTTTCTTTTCATTATAAATAAATAATAAACAATTGCAAGAAAAAGCGAACGTTAATTTTCTCTTTAATTTCATTCTACTTTCGGAATTTTTACATTTATCATAAAATACCAAATAATTTATTGAAAAAATGTATTTAACTTGAATTTAAAATCGAGTCAAAATGCTGTCTTCATGGCTTCTCATTTAAATCACCAACTCTTTGATCACTGTTCATTATGTCACTTGCTGTATTTCCAAGATTATTTATATAAGTTGCATAATTGGACATATTACCGACGTCATCTGCAGCTTTAGTTGCATCATTTCCACTGAATCCAATTCCTTTTCTAATTCTATCAAGAATTTGGCCAGCACTTTGAAAGAAATCTGTAGCTGTATTTCCGAAATTGGTCGCGGCTTGACCAGCGCCTTTTGTCAGGTCACCAACATTCTGACTGATACCTTTAAAGACAGTATTTGCTGCGCCACCCGCTGAGTTAAAAGCTTGTCCGGCCATATTAGTTAAATTACCAGCTACTTGACCTGCATTTTGAAAACCGCCTGAAACTATGTTACCAAAACCGTTGACTACTTGTCCGGGGACTTTATTCAAATTTTGTCCAACATCTTGGGCAACAGCATTTGCGGCAGAGCCGGCCAGACTCTGTAAAAAGCCTATTACCGGATTTTCTGGAATAATTTGAGCTTGGATTATACCAAGCACAGCGACGAACACGATTAAAGTTTTCATTCTTTCTTACAATGTTCTGAACTCAATTTCCAATCACACTGATGCGGTTATTCGACTCAAAACTGATATTTATACTGTTTTAAATGTAAATGAATTCGATGAATTACGCTCAAAACTATGACATTCTTGATCATTTGTTGATGAAAAAACATCGACATATTAACGAATTCATCTCGGCAAGGATTTTCGTAGGTCAACCATGATAAACAATTTCTTATTCATAAAATTCATACAGGTAATTAGACTCAATTTCACAATGTTTTTTGTCAACTTTTGTGAATGTCTTGTGATTCAATGAAAAGTAGATTTGAGGAAAAAATGAGAAGTATAAAACACGGTTTGATTTATTATCTACTAATTAGTGAGTAATTAATTCATTTCAATATTGTATTTACTCAATTGGTTCAAATTGAACACATATTGTGCTTTGTAAAATGTTTCTAGTACAAACGTCATACATTCAATTGCCTTTTGTTAAAGCACATTGTTTGAGAAGACAATATAAGCATGATGTTATTAATTACACAGCTCAATTGTAAAAATGTGGTAAATTAATGACAAAAGATGCACGAAATGAAAAGAAGAAGGAATTTAATCGCTGATTTTGTTATGTTATAAAGTGATTTATTTTATAATTACTACATGCCTATTACGTATATTGATTAAAAAATATGGTTCATGCCATAACTCATATTTAGAGATTTTTTTTTATTTCTAAATTGAATCATAAAACAAATCTTCAATATAGAAAATTTGAAGGTTGAAACGTATCTTGAACATTTCTATTGTGTATAAAAATCATTGAGTTTCAAGTATTACTACAGTCTAAAAGGAATATTGATCATTTGAATTTCCCAAGCGGCAAAAGTCACCATAATGGATATTAAAAGTCTTACTTGTTGCTTCAGTTGCTTATTTTCCATTCTAATCATTGCCATAATGTGTAATCCAACCGCATCAAGTAATTCGGAAACAAAGGTATAAGTAATATAACTAAATAGATTTATTTTGAAATTTCTTCACTATCCATTTTATTACTGATAATGCATTGAAATATATTCAGAAAAAGTACATCATTTTTGATACGGACATGGGTTCAGACGATGCTTGGGCCCTGCAAATGATTTTGAAAGCGGAAAAAGAACAACAAAATGTAAAAGTATTGGCAATCACAGCGGTTTCTGGAAATACATCACCAGAAAACGTGGCCAAAAACTCTTATCGCATTCTGGACGGTGTCGGTCGTACTGATGTAAATATATATATTTACTTTTAGCTACCTTCCACGGAAGGCATGAAATATTACGCTATCTGTCACAATACTTGGTTTAATGACAATTATTTCTATCTAGATTCCGATTTATAAAGGTGCCATCGAAGCATTTATTCCTTCCGATTTACAGTCTGCTCAATTTTATGGTGTGAATGGATTTAGCGATGTTGAATTTTGGAAACCTTCTTATCCACACGATGTCAATGAAATTTTCCAACAGAAAAGTGCAGTTGAAATCATTCGTGAATTGGTTATGACAGTAGGTACCTCATTATTTTCTCCAAAAGATGGTTTTTTTAATTACATTTCTTGTAGAATCCACACGAAATATCAATAATTAGCATTGGACCACTGACCAATGTTGCATTGGCCATAAAAGCATATCCAGAAATCAAAGAAAATATCAAAGAGATTTATATTATGGGCGGAAATTATCAAGGTTCCTTTAAGCTTCATTTGAAATATTGATTAATTGAGAGAACGCATTTCCACGTCGAATGATTGAATCAATCGAAAAATAATGTGTTTCGATCTCTAGCTCCTTTAAATTTAGGTGTACACAAACTTTAATAATCGTAAATGTACTTTTAGGAAAAGGAAATGCATTGAGAGGTTCCGAATACAATTTTTTCAAAGATCCAGAAGCAGCATACATTCTTCTAAACTCTCTTAATTGTCCAATAACAATTTTGCCTATTGAATCTCCTGAAAGCGTTAATATTACATTGGTATGAAAATATAATACTTTGATTTTCACCGGTACGTGTAATGCCAATAAATATTTAATTCTGTAGGAATGGCGATTCAATGTATTGGGAAAAGTCGACAATGAGAATGTGCAACTCTTGAATAAAGTGGAGCAAATTGCATTCCGCAACAGTGAGCGTTTTGAACCATTTGATGCTTTATTAGTTGCATCGTTTTTATTCCCGGAATGTATTCGCCAACAAAATCGGTATAATGCGACGATTGAATTGCAAGGAATTCACACTCGTGGTCAAATGGTTTTTGATCGTAGTAGCAGTGACTACAATGTGAACGTTGTCGAAATGGTACATGAAGACAAATTCAAGGAAATTCTGCTATGGGCAGCTAAACCATAGATGGAACCAAAATAAATATTGTTTATAATATAAATATGATTGATTAAATAAAATTGAGAAAGATCAAAGAAATCATATCGGAACAATTATGAATGCTTATTTACTTTTTTTCTGAGACAAGATTTACACTAGATAGAATGGATTTCGAACCAAATTGAAAAAATCATCAAAAAATCAAAGTATCCTGCTTTGATTGTCAATTTCGAAATCTGTGATTTGCCTCCTAATTACCCAAATGTAAGTAGACCGCAGATAAAGAAGAGTACGTCAGTCATAAAAAGGAAAATGAGTTAAAAGAGAGACACAGAAAAGTTTTTCCATTACAGGTACATTGTTTGTAAGTTACAAATTGTAACCGATAATTGAATAGGTTGACCTTTGGTCTGGAAAGATTAAAATATGGCATTTCTGACAATGGAATAGTTGGTGCCATATAAACGATGTCTTAAAGACTGAATAAGTTTCATGTCTTGAAAAATGTATAAACAGAGATAAATAAAGAGTCTTACGGGAGTAAGACGAACTTTTCCGCACGGTGGTAGTTGCGTATTTTATTAAGAAAGTTCAAAATAATATTTGTTCGATTTTTCAAGCCTTTCAAGTGGCGTAAAGTTCGAGACCAAAAAATATGTTTCAACTTTGGCAACGAAATATTCATTAATTTAATAGCAGAAGTACCCGAGAAAAGATTTTTCACACTTTCATGATGAACCCATTTGTACGACATTTGAAAGTATTCTATTTTCTAACAAAACACTATAAAAAATATGTCTGACGTTAATTTTGCCATAAAAATTATTTTTGAAACACTTTTCATAACTAAAGTCACAAAAAATTTGAATTTTTGTATGGGAGCCATGTCTGTATGCTACCTTAATGGCATGAAAATTTGTACAGGTTATTTTTTTCACAAAAAAATAACATTCGCAGGTTTTGGAGAAATTTCAGATACAAAATATTCGTTTTACTTTTCCGCACACACCTAGTGTGAAAGGGGAAAGTATTGCAATAGGTCAAAATTTACGAAACCTCAAAAACATGTTTTCTGGACGTTTCTGAGGTCAGAGTACCCGAATCAGGCCGTTTTGAGTATGGTTGGTGTGGGTCTGTTCCACGTCGTACGTCGTACGTCGTACGTTGTCCGCCGTACGCAAAATTTGTCCATCGATTATCTCACCCCCCAGAAAAGTTATTTAAAATCTGACTGTACAGGATGATTGGGGGTCCCGAGGAATAGAAATCATTAGATTTTGAGCGATTTTGGTCGATGGAAAAAATTGTCATGCCTGGAGTGATACCTATGAAAAAGAGTCCAATTTTCGCCCAAAAGTCATACTTAATGTAGACTTAAACACTCAAAAATATGTATTGGGGAGTTTTTTGGCACGAGAAAACCGAATCCGAAGTTAATTTTGAGATACAATCACTTTTTGATACAGTTTCCTTGAAAAAATCACTAAAAAATTGCATTTTTGTATGGGAGCCATGCCGTCACCTTAATGACGTGAAACTTTGCACAGACTATTTTTTGCACAAAAAAATAACATTTTGAAGAGATTTTAATCAAAATTAGGAGTACCTCCCGAGTATCACTTGCGTTGTATATTGACAATGCATTTGAACGCGACTCGATTTAAGAAGCGCCATCTCTTTCACGCCAGGTTCTCATATATTTTTTTCTTGTAAATAAAATTGCAAAATTGTATAAATTGAATAAGTTTTGCTGAACACGAAGTGAAGCTATTCTGGTGAATCATATAATATAAAATATTTGTGTGTTTTTTCAATTTTTTTTATTTATTATAAATTCTATAAATTATTTTCGTTATTATTATTG